GTAAAAAGCCCCAAAGTGTGAGATTGGTTATTTTTCAGCTTTCAGCAGCCCTGGGCAAGTTCTTTAGAGAAATGTGGCTCTTTTTCTTGGTTCACTTGTCTATGTCCAGCTGCACAACAAGATGAGGCTGGTCATTGTCATTTTCTGAGCTGTGAACGGGCAGGAAGGTGAGAAAATGTCGGATTTTGACCATTTGTGCTGACCTTTGAATTTCAATGTACCTCTCTATAACATGACCCAGCTGTAATGTCAGTGGTCGCATTGATTTGATTTTTGGTTTGCTTGTAGGGCGCTGGCATCCACATTCAGTGACCCCGAAAATGTGGCACTGCTGTGAATAGTTTAGTCGCAAAGTGAAGATTCACGGGTAAAAAGCCCCAAAGTGTGAGATTGGTTATTTTTCAGCTTTCAGCAGCCCTGGGCAAGTTCTTTAGAGAAATGTGGCTCTTTTTCTTGGTGCACTTGTCTATGTCCAGCTGCACAACAAGATGAGGCTGGTCATTGTCATTTTCTGAGCTGTGAACGGGAGGAAGGTGAGAAAATGTCGGATTTTGACCATTTGTGCTGACCTTTGAATTTCAATATACCTCTCTATAACATGACCCAGCTGTAATGTCAGTGGTCGCATTGATTTGATTTTTGGTTTGCTTGTGAGGCGCTGGCACCCACATTCAGTGACCCAGAAAATGTGGCACTGCTGTGAATAGTTTAGTCGCAAAGTGAAGATTCACGGGTAAAAAGCCCCAAACTGTGAGATTGGTTATTTTTCAGCTTTCAGCAGCCCTGGGCAAGTTCTTTAGAGAAATGTGGCTCTTTTTCTTGGTGCACTTGTCTATGTCCAGCTGCACAACGAGAGTAGGCTGGTCATTGTCATTTTCTGAGCTGTGAACGGGCAGGAAGGTGAGAAAATGTCGGATTTTGACCTTTTGTGCTGACCTTTGAATTTCAATGTACCTCTCTATAACATGACCCAGCTGTAATGTCAGTGGTCGCATTGATTTGATTTTTGGTTTGCTTGTAGGGCGCTGGCACCCACATTCAGTGACCCAAAAAATTTGGCACTGCTGTGAATAGTTTAGTCGCAAAGTGAAGATTCACGGGTAAAAAGCCCCAAAGTGTGAGATTGGTTATTTTTCAGCTTTCAGCAGCCCTGGGCAAGTTCTTTAGAGAAATGTGGCTCTTTTTCTTTGTGCACTTGTCTATGTCCAGCTGCACATTGAGATGAGGCTGGTCATTGTCATTTTCTGAGCTGTGAACGGGCAGGAAGGTGAGAAAATGTCGGATTTTGACCATTTGTGCTGACCTTTGAATTTCAATGTACCTCTCTATAACATGACCCAGCTGTAATGTCAGTTGTCGCATTGATTTGATTTTTGGTTTGCTTGTAGGGCGCTGGCACCCACATTCAGTGACCCCAAAAATTTGGCACTGCTGTGAATAGTTTAGTCGCAAAGTGAAGATTCACATGTAAAAAGCCCCAAAGTGTGAGATTGGTTATTTTTTAGCTTTCAGCAGCCCTGGGCAAGTTCTTTAGAGAAATGTGGCTCTTTTTCTTGGTGCACTTGTCTATGTCCAGCTGCACAACGAGATGAGGCTGGTCATTGTCATTTTCTGAGCTGTGAACGGGCAGGAAGGTGAGAAAATGTCGGATTTTTACCATTTGTGCTGACCTTTGAATTTCAATATACCTCTCTTAACATGACCCAGCTGTAATGTCAGTGGTCGCATTGATTTGATTTTTGGTTTGCTTGTGAGGCGCTGGCACCCACATTCAGTGACCCAGAAAATGTGGCACTGCTGTGAATAGTTTAGTCGCAAAGTGAAGATTCACGGGTAAAAAGCCCCAAACTGTGAGATTGGTTATTTTTCAGCTTTCAGCAGCCCTGGGCAAGTTCTTTAGAGAAATGTGGCTCTTTTTCTTGGTGCACTTGTCTATGTCCAGCTGCACAACGAGAGTAGGCTGGTCATTGTCATTTTCTGAGCTGTGAACGGGCAGGAAGGTGAGAAAATGTCGGATTTTGACCATTTGTGCTGACCTTTGAATTTCAATGTACCTCTCTATAACATGACCCAGCTGTAATGTCAGTGGTCGCATTGATTTGATTTTTGGTTTGCTTGTAGGGCGCTGGCACCCACATTCAGTGACCCAAAAAATTTGGCACTGCTGTGAATAGTTTAGTCGCAAAGTGAAGATTCACGGGTAAAAAGCCCCAAAGTGTGAGATTGGTTATTTTTCAGCTTTCAGCAGCCCTGGGCAAGTTCTTTAGAGAAATGTGGCTCTTTTTCTTGGTGCACTTGTCTATGTCCAGCTGCACAACAAGATGAGGCTGGTCATTGTAATTTTCTGAGCTGTGAACGGGCAGGAAGGTGAGAAAATGTCGGATTTTGACCATTTGTGCTGACCTTTGAATTTCAATGTACCTCTCTATAACATGACCCAGCTGTAATGTCAGTGGTCGCATTGATTTGATTTTTGGTTTGCTTGTAGGGCACTGGCACCCACATTCAGTGACCCAGAAAATGTGGCACTGCTGTGAATAGTTTAGTCGCAAAGTGAAGATTCACGGGTAAAAAGCCCCAAACTGTGAGATTGGTTATTTTTCAGCTTTCAGCAGCCCTGGGCAAGTTCCTTAGAGAAATGTGGGTCTTTTTCTTGGTTCACTTGTCTATGTCCAGCTGCACAACGAGATGAGGCTGGTCATTGTCATTTTCTGAGCTGTGAACGGGCAGGAAGGTGAGAAAATGTCGGTATTTGACCATTTGTGCTGACCTTTGAATTTCAATGTACCTCTCTATAACATGACCCAGCTGTAATGTCAGTGGTCGCATTGATTTGACTTTTGGTTTGCTTGTAGGTCGCTGGCACCCACATTCAGTGACCCCAAAAATTTGGCACTGCTGTGAATAGTTTAGTCGCAAAGTGAAGATTCACGGGTAAAAAGCCCCAAAGTGTGAGATTGGTTATTTTTCAGCTTTCAGCAGCCCTGGGCAAGTTCTTTAGAGAAATGTGGCTCTTTTTCTTTGTGCACTTGTCTATGTCCAGCTGCACATTGAGATGAGGCTGGTCATTGTCATTTTCTGAGCTGTGAACGGGCAGGAAGGTGAGAAAATGTCGGATTTTGACCATTTGTGCTGACCTTTGAATTTCAATGTACCTCTCTATAACATGACCCAGCTGTAATGTCAGTGGTCGCATTGATTTGATTTTTGGTTTGCTTGTAGGGCACTGGCACCCACATTCAGTGACCCAGAAAATGTGGCACTGCTGTGAATAGTTTAGTCGCAAAGTGAAGATTCACGGGTAAAAAGCCCCAAACTGTGAGATTGGTTATTTTTCAGCTTTCAGCAGCCCTGGGCAAGTTCTTTAGAGAAATGTGGCTCTTTTTCTTTGTGCACTTGTCTATGTCCAGCTGCACATTGAGATGAGGCTGGTCATTGTCATTTTCTGAGCTGTGAACGGGCAGGAAGGTGAGAAAAGGTCGGATTTTGACCATTTGTGCTGACCTTTGAATTTCAATGTACCTCTCTATAACATGACCCAGCTGTAATGTCAGTGGTCGCATTGATTTGATTTTTGGTTTGGTTGTAGGGCACTGGCACCCACATTCAGTGACCCAGAAAATGTGGCACTGCTGTGAATAGTTTAGTCGCAAAGTGAAGATTCACGGGTAAAAAGCCCCAAAGTGTGAGATTGGTTATTTTTCAGCTTTCAGCAGCCCTGGGCAAGTTCCTTAGAGAAGTGTGGGTCTTTTTCTTGGTTCGCTTGTCTATATCCAGCTGCACAACGAGATGAGGCTGGTCATTGTCATTTTCTGAGCTGTGAACGGGCAGGAAGGTGAGAAAATGTCGGATTTTGACCATTTGTGCTGACCTTTCAATTTCAATGTACCTCTCTATAACATGACCCAGCTGTAATGTCAGTGGTCGCATTGATTTGACTTTTGGTTTGCTTGTAGAGCGCTGGCACCCACATTCAGTGACCCCAAAAATTTGGCACTGCTGTGAATAGTTTAGTCGCAAAGTGAAGATTCACGGGTAAAAAGCCCCAAAGTGTGAGATTGGTTATTTTTCAGCTTTCAGCAGCCCTGGGCAAGTTCTTTAGAGAAAAGTGGCTCTTTTTCTTGGTGCACTTGTCTATGTCCAGCTGCACAACGAGATGAGGCTGGTCATTGTCATTTTCTGAGCTGTGAACGGGCAGGAAGGTGAGAAATGTCGGATTTTGACCATTTGTGCTGACCTTTGAATTTCAATGTACCTGTCTATAACATGACCCAGCTGTAATGTCAGTGGTCGCATTGATTTGATTTTCGGTTTGCTTGTAGGGCGCTGGCACCCACATTCAGTGACCCCAAAAATTTGGCACTGCTGTGAATAGTTTAGTCGCAAAGTGAAGATTCACGGGTAAAAAGCCCCAAAGTGTGAGATTGGTTATTTTTCAGCTTTCAGCAGCCCTGGGCAAGTTCTTTAGAGAAATGTGGCTCTTTTTCTTGGTGCACTTGTCTATGTCCAGCTGCACAACAAGATGAGGCTGGTTATTGTCATTTTCTGAGCTGTGAACGGGCAGGAAGGTGAGAAAATGTCGGATTTTGACCATTTGTGCTGACCTTTGAATTTCAATGTACCTCTCTATAACATGACCCAGCTGTAATGTCATTGGTCGCATTGATTTGATTTTTGGTTTGCTTGTAGGGCGCTGGCATCCACATTCAGTGACCCAGAAAATGTGGCACTGCTGTGAATAGTTTAGTCGCAAAGTGAAGATTCACGGGTAAAAAGCCCCAAACTGTGAGATTGGTTATTTTTCAGCTTTCAGCAGCCCTGGGCAAGTTCTTTAGAGAAATGTGGCTCTTTTTCTTTGTGCAATTGTCTATGTCAAGCAGAACAACGAGATGAGGCTGGTTATTGTCATTTTCTGAGCTGTGAACGGGCAGTAAGGTGAGAAAATGTCGGATTTTGACCATTTGTGCTGACCTTTGAATTTCAATGTACCTCTCTATAACCAGTCCTGGGTATCCCTTGTTTAGGGAACACTTGACATTGTCTGGTCGCCAAGGTGATCATGGTGATCCGTAGCTGCGCGTAGGCCCGCGTAGCCGCCTTGCCGGCCTCGGCCCTTTTACCTCGGCAGACCGCACCGGAAAAAAGATGACGACGCTGTTTTGGTGAATATTTTCTTCGCGCTCGACGGTCTGTGCGCCAAATTCAAAAAAAGTCGAAAGCCTTTTCTTCTTTCTCGAGTGATCCTTGGTGATTTTTCAAGCTTCTTCGCAGTGTTCAACACCCAATGGCTCAGGAGAAGAAAAGTCGAAAAAGTGTAGTCACTGGCCTCGTTTCAAGTGACAGCAGGAGAAGAAATTTCCTTTCAAAACGGAAGAATGGACTCCTAAAAAAGGTAAGTTGAATGCACATCGCAATTCTGAACTTGCGCAATTTGTCATGAAGACTTCGCTTCATTTGTGTTCTGCAGGCCGCAGAGTTGCATGTTGGAAGTGGAGCCAAGGTTTTGGTCGTGGTGGTCGCTCCTTCTGGAGTTCGACACACGTACAGCTCGCATCCTGTGGACGAGATTTTGCCCTCAACCAGCTCAAGTGTCACAACAGCAAGAGCTGACCCAGTGGCATGCTCTGCAAGAAGCAGTTCATATCCCACCGCGATGAACACCCCAGATTCCACCACGAGCCCCACTGAAGAATGAAAATAAAATTTGGACTGCTGGTCCTTCAAACATCACCTGTTGGATACTTGTTGTGTGCAAACACCATAGTCTGGTATCAATTCACCTCAGAATGTCAACATTGAAATAATAATGTATGCGTCATCAGAAATTGACACTTTCTGGACAACAGAACAATGCTAGTAGTCAACAAACATCACACTGAACCACTATGAATAGGAGCACTGGTTTGTACCACATGTACATGCACCTCAGTGTCTCAAATGGAAATAGAGGAAATAGCCGTGATCATGGTGATAGCCGGGCCATGATGCAGAACCACTTGGGGCCGTCAGATTAATTTTCCTGGACCGAGCCAGCCGGGAAAAAACCCTCGCGCTGACGGACGCAGTAGTGAGGGAAAAAACCGGGTGTATATCCCCAACGGCGACATAGGAGTAACGGATAAGACCACGGCGAGGTAGCCACGACCCTTGTTCGAGGTACAGCGTCTCTGCACTGGAGTCTCCCACTGCTTGAGCCAGCTGCTCAATGAAGTGGAAAGTATATAAATGGAGAAGACATGGTGTCAATAAGAAGTGTAGCGCTCGCACTTGACAATGCAAAGTGTGTGGCATGACGCAAAATGCACATTGAAGAACTACGGAAGCCAGGACCAGCCCTCCCTTGGCGAGTACACCGACTGTGAAGCAGTCACTGCAAGGAAAGTGCACACACAAGAACAACACAGAAAGCTACTTGAGCAAAATATTGCTCATCCATGCATACTATGGACACAATCGGACTGCATTCGAGCGAGGCAAACATCTTTTCTTTGCATGTTGGAACATTGTGCAAGACACATAAAGACACACATGTCTACTAACTGAAATAAATTTATTGCACAGAAAAGTCACTATGAGTGTGTCCGAATGTACCTTTGAATAGACAAAAGCACATAAACCGCACACCAATGGATGAAAGTGGCGAAAGAAATGCAAGGCACAAAGCACTCACCACTCATGGAGGCATATCATCAGCTGCATTGCCGCCGTCAGCCATGCACGAAACCATATCCCGCATCTGGCGCACGACCTTCAACACTGCTGGCTGGGTGGAAGCCTGCTCCAGTTCATCGCACAATGCAGAGGCAGCATTGTTGTCGGGCGCGAGATGTAGTAGCTGCTGGAATTCTTTCCTGAGGGAAGCCATAGTCCGTCTCGTATCACTCCCGTGTTTCTCGGCCTCTTCGGTGGTCAGAAAGTGTGGTGGCTGAGACTGCCTGGACAGCGGATAGGCACCATCTCCAAATAATGTCGCTAGCTGCTTCCGTCTGGCTTTACCCACAGCAGTGAGGTTCACAGCATCCGGCACCAATTCCTCACCAGGACTGAAGGATTGCAGTGGTCTTGAAAACGCTAGCTCACCATTGGGAACCAACATTGTTCTCAGACGCGCACGCCACACCAGAAGTTCCTTAGCATAACCGGGACGGGCTCTCGATTCCGACTTTGGATCTGGCAGCTGTAGGGCACTGAATACTTTGGAGCGGAGCTTCATGAGCTGCTCATGGTTACGGATCACCCGGCGCCACATGTTGGAGTCTTTCTCCCCTGACACCCATGACTTCACATTGGCATTTAGCTCTTCGACGATAGCATCAAGTGCCTGGTGGAGGTCACCCTTTCCTGACCTGCTGAGGAAGAGAGTGCTGTCAATGAGACTTCGCAAATCTGTTGAGAGCGAGAGGCGACGGACTTCCTCGGACATGTCAATCACTTGATATGTTGTGTGATTCCTCGCATGCAGCAATGGAGAGAGAACTCTGCGAGACTCAATAAACAGTGGTACGTCGTTGTGCCGTGCTCCCCGCCGAAGCATGAATAGTGGAAAGCAGTACTGAGTGCACAGCTCCAGCAGCCAGGAATACGTATGATTGTTGGTGAACTGCTTGCACCAAACGAAGAAACCCTCTGCTGAAGGGGTGTTGCTGCCAGATTCCTGGGCGAGTACATATGGCCGCAGAAGTTTGTCAAAGCAGCCATCCGTGAAACGGCTCAGCTCATCGTATGTGCGGTGGTGGTCTTTGGCTTTGAAGGCCCAATCCAATTGCTTAGGAGAAGTATATCCCTGGCTAATAGCGAACTCCTTATAGGCAAATGGCCACAGAGACTTGACAATGCACTGGATAATGTTCATCTCCCAGTGCAAGCCACCTGAAATGGGTAGTACCCAATCAAACTCCCCATCAGGAATGTTTGTTGGGGGCATCAATTCACCCTTCTCAACCAGATCATCTAAAAACTTCCTCAGCCTCTCACGTAACGTACTCATGTTCCCTGTTACACCCAAGCCCCTTGTACTGCATGCACTCTTCAGGTCAGCCTTCGACATTGAGTCGACATGCAATATTCCTGCTTCATGGTTAGCCAATTTGGCTGCATCACGCCTTGCCTCCTCCATCACAGTCAATATGAGGGAGTACGGCAAGCCGTCACACACAACAGTGAGCCATTCCCTCACCCCCTCGTCACCTACACATTGTTTTACCCTTGCACGCTTCCCAACATCGCGCAATACAATGCGAACAGCTTCATGGGAGTTGGGGTTGACAAAAATGGGCTCTAGAAACCCAACATCTGCCGGGGACACAAGGGGCACATCTTCACCACTGGTCTTTGAGGACACTCTGGTTAACGAAACACCGGTACTGCTGTCCACATGCGGTACATACACAAACTCGGTGCCTGACTTTAGTGTGCCTGGCTTGGTGACTTTGATGTGCTCGGTCGACACCACTGATTTGCCTTGGTCAGCTTGCAATGCCTGCCTAACATTTACCCTGCATGTCGCATTGGGACACAAATGCAGCCTGCGCTCCATCTGTGTGCAACATTTAGGGCAGATCAGGTACCGTCTTTCTCGTTCCAATGATGCAAGATGGCTATCAACTGGGTCAGCTGATAGCCTCTGCTCAGACACAAGAGCTTCAATCCTTTTGTTCATGAAACTCAGCAAGTGTGGCTTAATCAAAGATTCTTGATCAAGAGGATCCGGTACCTGATCTATTGCACATTGAATCTCAGTGACAGTTGGAAATTTCCAATTTCGGAAATGGAAATCTCCCTTTTCTTGGGAAGGAACATGGGAATGACGGGCATAGACAACATTGGTCAGAACCTCATACGTGGAACGATTGCTGCCACGGGAGAGGTACGACTTAAGTTGTCGTTGCTCATTGTCAAACCCAACACTCACGAACCCTTCAGGAACTTGCAGCTCGCTACCACCCAACCCAGCCAACCAATCTTTCACGAGCTTATAACTCCCCCCCGACCCTAGGTGACCAAAAATGTCGAGGGTTGTCTTGCTTTGGGTGATGCTGTACACTATCGCCTGGAGCAAAACATGGAATTCTGCACAGTAATTCAAGTTAGCAGCAGCATAGAGAGACTCCATGGCTTGCGCTTGAAGAACTGTGCGGCGGTCGGCAACGGAGAAGTCAAGTGCAAACGTGCTGGAGGTCATGCCCGTCACAAACGTCTCAACAAACTTGTTGTAGGGTTTGTTGCTGAACTGACCCGTCGGGATGGACAGCAAGTTCTGCAATGATCTACTTGACTTTGCTGACTCAACAGCACTCAACACATCTGCTTTGAACTGCGGCTGCTCAGCCACACACAGCCTACGTAGCAAGTCCAAGCGACCTTCCGAGGTGCTCAGAAGCGAACCTACACTTTCCTTTTTCATACTAATTATTTCCTTCTCAAGTAATTCAATTTTGCTATCCTTCTGCAAATGCATCTTCGACAATGCAGCCAACGCACAGTTTTTGGCCACCAACACTCTCTCTAAACGCTTCAAAGAATCAACATTTTCAACATTATCAACATTTTCAACATTATCTACCGGTACTTCGTTTGAGGCTGAGGAGGTTTCTCGGGACTGGCTGAAGACAGGGGGAAAAGAATCATCTACATCATCGCAGGAGCTTACCTCTGGGAGAGCCTGAGGAACATCATCGCTGGCATCTACCATGTCTACAGAGTCCCCATAGCTATCGCCCCTCCGAGGCTCGTACAGAGGGTGGTTGGTGATTAAATCCTTCAAGTCAGCCAGTCGTCCGCAGCTCCTACAAATTGCAGATACGTCTCGTCCAGAGAGCGCTGACAACACTGCCAGGATACACTTGCGAACCCGAACATCCTTGGAGCTATGCCGAGGCGATTCCCACTCATCGTGGAAGGGATTCTTGCACGCAAACTGGTATTGAGAACCTCCAGAGTGTCTCTTCTTCGTGGATATCTTGCCCATGATGACAAAATGTTGAAAATGCAAAACGGGCTTCTTCTCGTCGCTTCTCTCTCGAGAACGACATGGCAGAGTTCAATTTTTTTTCGGGCAAAACCTCCATAAACCCCTACAGGCCAGGCTAAAACACTGTCCAACCTCCGCACTTTTGGGGTTACCTCCGCAAAGTTACCTAAAGAGGGACTGATATTTCAAGGCAAATCGAAATTGTGCCACATCTCTTTCAATGAGAACAGAGGCCTTCGCAGCGCATCCATCTTCCTCTTTTTCGGGCCGCGGGCGCACGGCGGGCGCACGGCGCGATTTGACCGTGCGTACTTGTCAATCTCCATATCAACGCCTGAGTTTTCGTGTAAAAACCGAATGTTCCCTGAACAAGGGATTCCCTCGACTGATAACATGACCCAGCTGTAATGTCAGTTGTCGCATTGATTTGATTTTTGGTTTGCTTGTAGGGCGCTGGCACCCACATTCAGTGACCCAAAAAATTTGGCACTGCTGTGAATAGTTTAGTCGCAAAGTGAAGATTCACGGGTAAAAAGCCCCAAAGTGTGAGATTGGTTATTTTTCAGCTTTCAGCAGCCCTGGGCAAGTTCTTTAGAGAAATGTGGGTCTTTTTCTTTGTGCACTTGTCTATGTCCAGCTGCACAACGAGATGAGGCTGGTCATTGTCATTTTCTGAGCTGTGAACGGGCAGGAACGTGAGAAAATGTCGGATTTTGACCATTTGTGCTGACCTTTGAATTTCAATGTACCTCTCTAT